GTGCCCATTCCGATAATCACTAACTTATTTATGGGCCTTAGCACTCTATACAAGAAATGGGTGGTGACTTTTTTTTTATTTTGAGTGTACCTAGCCTTTTTGTTTTGTTTTGTTTTGAGTGGATCCAGTTTTTTATTTGTATTTTTTTACAATAACTGAAGTAGTTATAAATTTTCAATATTCAATTTTAAAGTGGTAACAAAGTATTGGCATAGCAAAATATGAGACAATGGTAAATCATAAATGGTAAATTTATATCAAAGTAAACCCTCCCCAACCCTACCGCCGATGCACCTCCATAATCCACAACCGATCATCCATCCATCCAATTGCCACCGCTCCACAATAAACTTCTTGACTTGACTGCCACCCCCAACCTATGGCAACACCCAACAGTCCTCTCCCTTCGAGTTTGAACCGATCGGAGTTTAAGGGATGAGATACATTTGATATGGAGACACGAAGAGAGAGACTGAGGCAACGCCGGTCACTAGTGTACAACCACAAATTTCCACACAATCCTTCACTCCTCCTTTTCACTAGGCATCGTTACACTTCACTCCTTTTCATTCTGGTGCACTCCACTTCGCTACTCCGTTTCGCTTGCCGATTGTATTCTGGGCATAGTGAATAGGAATCATCCACTCTGTCACACAAGTGGCTAATAACCAAGCCTAACTTTTTATAGACTGATTCTTGAGGTTGTGAATATTTTAGGATCCGACGATGAATGCTGTGTGCCACTCATGGGCAAAACTAGGGGTTTCTATGGCCGGGCCGGTTTAGGCCCAAATTCTTAGCTAAGTAAACTATTAGACGCGTCGGATTGGTGTTTGGATAGGGATAGGTTATCTGCAACCCAACACACAAACCTATTAGGCGAGTTTGCATGCAGGCTTTTTTATATACAATTTTATTTAAAAATAATGAATATTTTTGTAACTTAATATTTGTGTAAATTATATTTTTGAATAAAACTTATAATCAAAATAGATAAAAATAAAATAATCATATTGTATATATAACTAGGGCGTGATGTGACACTTGGGGTTGGAAAAAAATTGGTAGGCCTTTTTGCATAAGCAATTATCTTTGTGCAAGTTTCTAAAAATAACGTGACAATTAGTAGCTAATGGAGGGTCGGGTAGACACAAATAAGATGTTAATCGAGATGAGTAATTTGGGTTCGACTCGGATAAAATTTGGTTTGAATTTAACTTGTGTTATAAACGAGTTGAACTTGAACAATTTTTTAGACTTATTTAAAAAAACGAGCCTTAAAAACTCACTTCAAGCTGACAAAGTTCAATTCGTTTATATGTAATAGTAAAGTTATTTTGGCTCAGGCTCGACTTGAGTTTTAAATAAGCCTAATTTAAACAATTTTTTAAGCTTGTTTAAAAAAATGAATTAGGTAAGCTTGGGCTCAAACTCGGTTCAATAAATACCCTTAAATTCAATTTTCGGAAATGGGCGTGCTTCATGGAATGCTATTAAGTATTAGAATTAATACTAAGTGGCCCAAGAACTATATTAAACCACATGAACTGGAAAGAAAATGCTATACATGAGCTTCACTAAATAGGTACACTACAACCCGCACGGATAGCCTAGTGATGTGAAATTCAGCTTAGAGTCACCCGTAAATTCGAACGTTTCTGAGTTTAACTCTTGATGTGGCCTCTCGAATTTAACCTATACTTGTGGATAATGTATGGTGAAAAAAAAAAAAAAAGAACAAAAGCTAGTGTGAGGATCATAATGTAAAAAAATTAATCTTTGAGGGTTTCAATTGAGAATTTTAAAATTTTGGGGTGGGGTCAAGTGAAATTGTCCCCTCAATAATTCACAGTATGTTCTTTAAGATAATGTTGCAGATCAGAAATTCAATGTTCGCTTCTTCTTAATTTGAAAAAAAATAATTTAAATCGAGAAATAATTTTGCTTAGTTAAAATAGTTGTTTAGATTGAGTTTCAAATTTTACTATCTTTGACTTTGAAATAATTCATTTCACTGTTTAAACCATCATAGCAATTTCATTTCTCAAAAATCAAACTGATAAACCTTGCCCATGTATTAGCCAATATCTCAATGAACTAGGACTAATTGAACTTCACGGAAACTAAGGGCGTATTAGAATTACATCTCAAAAAATAATATTCGAAAATAATTTTTGGAAAGAGTTTGAAAAAAGCGTTTTTGAAAATTTTTATATTACAAAACTTGTTTGTTTATATGTTTTTTAAAATAGTTTTAAAAAACAAAAAATTGTAAAACTTATTTGAATAATAATCCACATAACCCCCAATTTTTATCTCTCTCTTTCTTTCCCCTCTCTTTCTCCACAAAACACACGCACACACTCACACACACAACCCACATATATACACATCTATATACAAACAGATCTATATATATACACAAAGCTTTATATATATATATATATATATAAAGCTAAGACAAAAGAAAAAAAAGGATACGATAGATATAATACGAAAGAAAAAAAGGGGGGCTTTTGTTATTAATAAAGTTCGAAGTGTAGACCTCATCAAAGAGGAGGAGTTGTTTCTCTTATTTTCTATTTTGGTTTTAAAACTTAGAAAACATAATTTAGGCGTTTTCTAGTTTTTGTTCTCAATTTTCACTTTTTTCATGAAAAAATTGTTTTTGAAAATTTATAACCAAACATCTCTCTACTTTTATTGTTTTTGATAACATAAAACTGTTTTTAGAACCCAATCCAAACATTCTCTAAAATTCCAAAACACAGCCCAATTTCACCATCCTATTTTTGACAATGAAATATTGATGATGTAACTATTAGATGGTTGGACTAGCATGATCGAATTTAAAAGTCTAAGTCAAAGGTTAAGAGTTTTTATTCCAAAAAAAAAAAAAATAAATACACTTGGTATATTTGTTAAGATTTACTTATTTTATATTTTATATTTATTATTTAAATTTTTAGTTAGATAGAAATTTTAGGAAAATAGTTTATTTATGGTAAGATGCTTGGTCTATAAATAATGATGAACTCCACATTATTTTAATCAAAATTGAATATTAATATAAAAATTATCAGTGAAAATTTATGTTTCTTAACTTAATTCTTAGGAAGATTAATTATTACCTTTCTTTTTCTTTCCTCTCAACATCAATGGTATCAAAGCAAATTTCGATCCCTTGGATTTGTCTCCCCCAATGTTGCATCTACTTCTCCACAGTCAATTGCGTGTATCACTCGTCCTTACTAACCATCACTGACAATCAATTGTTTGTGCCGCCAATTAACTTGCTCCTTGCCTCGCTGCCGCTACTTTTGGGTCCCAACTTTATTTAAAATTCGAGACTTAAACATATTCGTCAATTAAGCCTTATATTAGTAATCTTATTTGGTAGTTAAGTCTATTTTTAATTTTTTTTTCTTTTTCTTTTTATTACTCAAACGCCATTAATAGATTGTTTCACCATTAAAAAGAGTTTTCAAATTGATTTAGAGATTATTTGTATAATAAAATACAATATAAAAATTAATTTATTTTTCACGATTGAGATCCTTTTAAATTTTATTTTAAAATTAATTTGACAGTTAATATTAACTCCCTAAATTTAATAGAAAAAATAGTCCTTCTAATGATGCATTTGGAGGTAAAAGTTAAAAAAATAACGTCTATTTCTTTAAAATCACTTCTCTACAAAACACTTTACTACCACCACTGTCGCCGACACCCCACCACTATCGTCGTTGTTCCACCACCATTGCTATGGTCCCACCACTACCCACCATTATTACCATTGCCCACCATAATTCACACTCAGTCATTGTTCCACCACTATGGTCCCACCACTATCAACCATTATTACCATTACCCACCACAATTCACACCCACCATCATCACAGCTGTCAACCATAATTGTCATTGCCACCGACACTATACAAAAACCTATCACCACAATCACTGTTATTATTCACGGCTACCACCACTATCACGTTTGTTTTTTGCTCACCAATAACCACCACCATCACTACCACTAGTCACCCCACTACAACCATTAGTTTAAATTTTGTTGTCTTTCATCTAATCTCAAATCTAAAATTCTATAAAATTTTGAACCGCTCTTTCTGAAAGCATGCCTCCCGTTACCTTTGGTATCACTTCCTCCCAGCCAGGTCCTTTTAAGGGGGAACACACTAGCATCAGTATCCGGCTCTCCACCTTTTTTCGATGGACTGGCAATCAGATCACTGCGATACAAAAGCCTCTCTAAATCTTCATCACTAATCTGTGTCTGGACCAACTTTTCCCCAACATCTTTCATTCTCTTGTAGCAGCGCCAGCAGATCCTCTTCCTGTAAATTATCTGACAGCGTTAATGTGTCAAACTCGATCACTCAAAACTAAGGTGATATTGACTCACACCTAATTCATGTAAATTATCTAACAGCTTCAACTATGATGAGTACAATAATTAAGGTTCTTGAAGTTCTTTCTAGAGAATTCTACGGTTACTATCAAGGGTCCTATGTTTACTAAATCATGTTAATATTTGGAGACCGAGTAATTGATTATAATTATACTAATTTCAATTATTTCTGGTTTATCTAACTCATGTTAGTGTTAAGGACATTTAGTCTCCTCCTTGGTTTGATCAAATACTAGAATTAGGATAATCACGAGAGATTAATCTCCCATGAATTACTTCCAAGTAGTTACCAAGATTTAAACTCACGACATTTGAGTATATAGTTTGTCTCTGTTACTACTTCAACTACCGTTAAAATCATAGCAGTTCCATTCAACCATGTAAAATTATACTCAAATTTAAAATCAAACACTGCAATGACACATCCAGCAATGGAATTTGATTAGTAAACCGATCGAAGCTTAAGACAATATAAACATACTGACACTCGAGTAGAAGTTATTCAACAATCAGTATTATGATTATTACACTGAAACTTAAACTACTAATCCATTCACGCTGCTAAGTAAATTGTCTATCCTTCCTTGATGACTCCATTTTCTTTCACATCTTTGACTAGAGTTTTTTCATCCTCCACTTTTTCAACATTTTGTTCTTTTTCTTCCACTTCTTGCTCAGCTTTCAGTTTCTCTTCCTCCTTTGCTTTCAGCCTTGCTTCTTCCTTTGCCGTCTCAAGAGCTTTGATCAAGTTGTTCAAGCAAGTCTCGGCATCTTCTTCATCAGACTTGGGCATCAAATTCTCCGCAACATCTGCTGGAGTCATATTCGTTTCTTCCAATAAGCGATCAATAGTTCCAAACAAATGGTGAGAGTCAAGATCCAAATAGTTCTTCGCAAGAACCTTGAATGCTTCGAAACAACAGTAGGACAATTCTATATGCTTATCCATTCGTCCCCTCCGGATGAGAGCAGGGTCGAGTTTCTCCACATAATTAGTTGTAAATATGATGAGTCTCTCACCACCACAAGCTGACCAAAGCCCGTCGATGAAGTTCAAAAGTCCCGATAGAGTAACTTTGCTACTCTTGCCCTCCTCATCATCTTTCATCTTTTTGCGAACTGGGTCCTTTTCTTCTTTTTGTTTGTCGTCCTTCTTCTTCTCCTTCTCCCTTTGGCCCGTCAGATCAAGAGAACAATCGATGTCCTCAATCATTATGATGGCTTTACTTGATGTATCGATCAACAACTTCCTTAGCTCCGTGTTGTTCTCAACCGATGTAAGTTCAAGATCATAAATGTCATAGTTCAAAAGATTAGCCATGGCAGCGATCATGGTTGACTTACCTGTTCCAGGAGGACCATAAAGAAGATAGCCACGCTTCCATGCCTTTCCTATCTTTGCATAATACTCTTTTGCCTTGCTGAAGGTGATCAAGTCATTGATTATTTCTTGTTTCTTTTTGGGCTCCATTGCCAAAGTCCCAAATGTTGCAGGGTGCTCAAATATTATGTGGCTCCACATTGTCCTTTTGTATCCATGCCAATTCTCACTCTTATTGTTGATGTAAAGCTTCCTTTGCCGGTTTGTAACAGCGATTTCTTTCCCTTTGTCCAACACATGATTCAAGTAAACTTTGGTAATGATATCACGGTGCTGCTTGTGGAATTTGACGGTGTAAAACCTCGTTATTCCTTCGTTGGGATAGATAGAAATCGACTGTGTTGTAGGAATGTTTGTGCTCGAAGCCCACCAAATCTTAATTCCTCTGAATTCATCTGTGATCTCCTCGTTATCGTCCATGCTAAAGAGCAGAGATTGACTGTCTTTGACTACGTCTGCTTTAAGCCTCTTGGCTCGTGTCGCAGAATTGGTACCGTGGTACCTCTCAATGGTGGAGTAGGCTTCACAACGCTCAAACCCATCACCTGGGTATTCATGAAATTTAATTTGCATGTAGGGGGACACGAAACTCACCAGTTTGTAAGTGTATCTCTCGAGACTGCCGCGGAGTTCATCTGGGAAGTAATTCTTGAACATGGCCCATATGAACATTAGACCCGCAATTGCAGAACCTAGATTAGTCCACATCTCTCCCATCTTCATTTTTTTGGTTGAAATGTGTTGTGCTTTTTCCATTGCAAAGGTGGGCTATAAGTACATTAAGGAAATGTTTGTTTCCTGTATAAAATTGAGGTGATATTAGGTTTTATATTTATTCCACTCCAATCTAATAGTATATTATATTCGGTGTTAAACTATAATCTCATCATTCTCCTTGTTTATAACAAATATTATCTGTGTAATACCTACTTAAAAAAGTCTACAATTGCGGTTAACCAATGTAAAAGACAATTTTAACCTTTAAAAAGTCAAAAATTACAACTAAACTTTTATATGGGAATTGTACCGGAGGACATTTTAATCTTTTTAATTTATAATATATATACCAAGAATATAATACCACCCCATATGTGGTATTCATTAAAACCTTCTACAATGCATTATGATTACTGTTTATAACGGGTCGGTATTACGATCCGAAAAATAGTACCGACTATAAAATACCAAACAAACAGCGTATAAAATGGGTCTCACGTATTATTTTTCTAATATCACCTCTTTATACCACTCTAATACTCAAAACAAACGACCCTAAAAGAATAGGCTCTATTTTGCTTGACGAGCGAGCCATGTAAATTTCTTTCTGGTTTCTTACAAAAACACAGCCATCGGCACCCGTCATTTGCGATGTAGTTTTCCACGAAAGAAACAAAATTTTGGCTTTGATCCAGAAGGGTGATCAAGGAGGACGCTCAGCAGGTGGTTTTTTTTTTTTTTTGTTTTTTTTGGTTAATTACAAACTGACCCCTTCAATTTTGGGTAGTTTGACATGTACTCCTTCAAGTTTTAATTTCAACAAATAGCCCCCTTTTAGTTTGCATATTTTACAATTAACTCCAAAAATTAATTTTAGATCAAAAAAATAAAGGAAGTTAAATATGAGAAATTCATGTGATTCCTATTTTATTAAAAAGACATAACTATCTTTGAAAGAGTGTGACTATGTGTACACGCTGGTGATGGGTGGAGATAGAGGCGAATGTGAATGCAAACATGTTGTTATGTAATGCATTGGTGTTGGGTTGAACAAATATATTTTTGTCTTGACTATCCTCTTTTCTTTTTTTTTTTTTATGGATATAATTGGTATCTCAAAGAAAATGAACAAAAAGGTAAACGATGGAGGGTGTAATTATACTTCTATGTTTAATCATTGCTTTCAATCAATTTAGTCTACTTAAAACTTAGAAAGAATATATTGCAGCATTTAAAATTATAAAGAACTGATTGCAACAATGAGCATAATTGAAAGGAACAAATTGTAATTATCCTTTTTTCTTTTTCTATTGGCGTAGGTGTTTACTTCAGAGGACTTGGCACCCAATTTTTTAACAGGGTCAGGTCTTTGTCGTATTGCCTTGGAATGGTAGCCAACGATAGGTACCGCGCATTATTAGAACACTAACACTATCCGGATATAATTTATAGACATAATTTAATAATATAATGAGTTGTTATTAATAAAATAATAATAAAATATATTTAATTATGGGTCCTATTGTAATATTAATGAATTTATTATTATATTATTGATAATAATTTATTATATCTTTAAATTATGTGTATAAATTATATCCTAATAACATTCATATTGTTAGAAAGTATACGTTCACCTTCTAAATAGTAATTGATAGGCTCGGAAAAGCCACGCTTGCCCTTTGTCTGCTGTGTTGCTATACCTTATGACCTCAGTTTTATTACATCACTGCCTTCGTCTGCTGTGTTGGTATACCTTAGTATGACCTCACCTTTCTATCTCTTTGAGTTTTTTTTATTTTATTATAAAATATAGTCTTATTTAATAAAATTGCTACAAGTTGCAAAATCACTTTCACCATTATTAATTATACTTCAATAAACACCAATTTTAATTTAATTATATCTCAATTATTTCTTCTCACAATGATATAACAATTAAATGTAAGAACATTTTTTCAACCACCACGACCGTTAATACCTATAAAGCTTAGTGTATTGAATTTGTTAATTCAAATACTCAACACTTAATTTCTTATGACGATCCCAATTCAATGACAACAAACTCAATTAAGCAACTATATATGACATGTATATTCAATCAATCAATTTATCGAATACATAGTGTCCGTGTGTTCTCAAATTACAAATGTATGTATAAAAAATAACAAAGAATAGAAGAAATTTGTTAACTCGAAAACTCTATTGACAACTTTGAACCTCTCTAAGGTTAATAAAAGTCTAATTTAGTTAATAAGTATTCGAGTCTTAAACAATTATGTAAACGATTGTTTAACTCTTGAAATTGCATATTAATAGCATCATAAAAAAGCTCAACGCGATAATAATGTAAGTTTGTCATTTTTTGAGCTTTGCACATTGACCGTCCTCGATACATTACGTATACCTTTCAAAGTCTCTTGATTAAAGCATAAGTAGGTGTTCAAATAAACCATCTTAGACTTATATGAAAAACACTTCAATGATTCAATCTCATAAATGTCTGATTTTCATCGAGCTTATTGAACCAGTCTACTGACACAGATCAAGGAACAAATGAGAAAAGAGCCTAACATCATGTCCTAGAATAAAGATACTATTGTCATCCACTCCACAAATAATTTTTTGATTAAAAATAAAAAACAAAGCATTTATTGAAGAAGTAGGGCATGTTAGAGTTTCATAGCTGTTTTTGAAGAAGAAGAAGCATACTAGGAGTGATAGAGACATTGTCTCTGTGTGATGGTCATAGATGCTTGAATAGTCGCTTGAAATGTAGAGATGTGAACGGGAGATACTCAGAGAGATACACAAGTTTTATATTTGGGGGTGGGCCTCTTCTAGCAAAACGATGTCACTTTAACTATCTGACTGTCAAAACAACGTCATTATATTAGACATAAGGTTAAAAAAAAATAATAAAACGAACCGTGCAATTCCTTTGATTTGAATCGAATTGTACGATTCTTGCAATTCAAGTGCGATTCTCTACTAAAAACGATTTTTTAGTAAGATACAAATCGAATGGTACGATTCTTATAATTCGGGTGCGATTATCGGCTAAAAAAAATTCTATAGTAAGATAGGAATTGAAAGGGGACAAAATTGAAACGAATCAAATCGCGAATCGTATAATTTTAATAATAATGGTATTCCTTCATTTATCTCTATCTCTATATATGTGTGTATGTATTTTTTTCTAATGAATAATGAATACCAAATAAATTAACATTTAAAATTGTAAACATATTTAGAAAACATTCGAGTGCCTATATTACCCTTAGAAATATATTATAATAGTATTATCATCCTTAATTTAAACATGGACTTCTTATTTTTATTTTTTCTCTAAATTTACCATGTATAACTTTTTTTACCTATATGTAGAATTGATGATAAAAATATAAACTTGAAAAATAAATTTAATAAATTTTCTTAATTTTTATAAATTTAATAAAAAATTATTAACTAATTAAACTTGTTCATGTGCAGCGCACTTGGTGCATTACTAATTATATAAGGTGGGGTTATCCCATTTAATTTATTTATTTAAAATTATTAAATTCAACCATCTATACTTACTCCATGAGTTATTAAATCCATTCCGTCTATATTTACTAATTAAAAACTAAATTCATTCAATTTAATTTCAACCTACAGGTAATGATCAAAATTTCATTTCAATGTAATATTTTATTACATAATATTTTTAAAAAAGAATAAAAAATAAAAAATTAATTTTATTTTTAAAATATTAATCCAAATATATCAAAATATCTTAAAATACCTCAAAATATTCCAAAGACATTGATAAAATTATGTCAAAATACCTCGAAATATTTTAGATCACATCGGAACATTGAAATTTCACTTATTATTTTCACATCGAAACATTCAATTATTATTTTTGTTTTAGTTTCTTTGAAATATATATTTAATAGTTTAATTGGATGAATATAAATGAGGTGAATTTAGTTATTAATGTCATGAATATCGATGGGGTGGATTTAATAATTTGAAATAAGAGAATTAAATGGGGGTGAAAAAAGAGATTTAAGAGAATTAGATGCTACAAAATAGGAGGTGATTGGTATTCAATCAAAAATTACTAGAGATTCCTCGACAAGTTTGAGAGTCAGGCATTATTGTAAGATATTTTTTTTTATTTTTTAACTTAATACTATAAATTAATCCCTTAGTCAGATATGAGTACTCACTCATGCATTATTCAAACATTAATTTAAACATAATTATTATCACCAATTTAAATAAAATTAAAATTAAAATTAATTATCCAATCTCAAATCAAACCATCCTTTATCACAGCAGAAGTCCCTCATTCTTCCTCTTTTTTTTTTTGTTTGCTACAGGGTATACAAACTTAGGTCGACTATTCACTCTGACTCTTAAAAATTGTGACAAGTATTGAACTTGAAACCACTTGCTTACAAAAAGGCAAGTTTGATCATTGTACCATTGGTAAGGGTTCCATCTCTCTCCGTCATATTTCAAACTCTTTATTCACTTTGAAGCCTAACCGTCTCTGTCTCTCATCTGAGACCCTCATTCACGGCTCATTCGCAAGTATCTGAAGTTTGATTCGTCTGAACAAAGGGTCTAATGGTGTCAATTCCTATCATTATTGAGTTATCTACTGCGAGCTAATGGTAAACGCATTACATTAGAGCATCTTCAACAGTATTTTTTTAGATTAATTGTTCTGGCTGCCTTTATTAAAGTAAAAATTGACACCAATAGATAAGTCAATAATGTGAGTTTCTTTGTTACAAATCCACCCTTATTAGGGAGTTATTGGAATTTGTCTTTTTTTTTCATGAGAAATTGATAATTTTATTTTTGTAATATCTGGTTGCTGTTATGCCAACTATCCTACTTTAGATAGTGTTAAATCTCTGCTGTCATGACTTCCAGCATCGGATAACAGGGTTTGAATTTAGGGATTTATTCGAAATATTCAATAACTTGATTTATAATAATGTGTCCAAACCTACTGATTTTGATGCTATGGAGGAAAAAATGATATCTAAAGAGAAATATTTGTTGTACTAGAGTGATGATCTTCTTCTAATGAGAGATAATATAAATTTAAATTCCAATTTAAGAGTGAATTAAGGAATAATAATTTATAATTTAAGAAATTAATTTAAAGCTAATTTCGAAGTCTCTAAAGTTTCTATAATTGAACAGAATAACACTATTAAATGTATTTTTGGGAATTTAAAAATTAGTGGATTTAAGTACTTATTAGTAAAATAAAAAACGGTCTTATTATTAAAAAAATTTTATTGACAGACTCAAGTTATTATAAGTCACAACATTGCGACACATTGACCTACAGGAGAATCTTCTTTCAGGCACACTTCCATCAAGTATGGGCCTAGATCTTCCCAATCTTGAAGCAATTGAACTTGCAGGAAATTACTTGAATGGAAATCTTCCCGACTCCATCTCAAATGCTTCTAGAATGTCAGCAATGATTTTGGGGTCCAACCTTTTTTCAGGTACAATACCCAAATCATTGGGCAGCCTAAAACTCCTTGAACGTCTTGCCTTGGAAGAAAACAACTTCACTAGAGAATCTTCATCTACGAAGTTGAACTTCTTCTATTCTTTGGCAAATTGCATACATCTAAGGGACTTGCGGATATCTCATAATTCTCTCAATGGCTTTCTTCCAGTTTCCATTGGAAATCTCTCCGCTTCTCTTTTTTATCTATTTGCAAATTATTGTGGAATTAGAGGCAACATTCCGAACCAGGTCAGCAATTTAAGCAATTTGGTGTTTTTAGAACTTAGAGGCAATGACTTACATGGATTCATTCCGACAACAATCAAAGAGTTGCAGAAGCTTCAAATTTTGAATCTTCATCAAAATAGGATATGAGGATCCATTTCAAGTGATCTTTGCTATTTAAGGAACTTGGGCCTTCTGGATTTAGGCAAAAATGAGTTTTATAACACAGGGCCATCGTGCTTTGAAAATGTTACTTCTTTAAAATACCTCTATTTAGATTCCAACAAATTAACTTCCAGCATACCCATGAACCTGTGGAGATTGAAAGATCTTTTGGAGCTCAACTTGTCCTTAACTTCTTTAGTTGGCTACTTGACCCCAGAAATTGGAAGCCTAAAAGTTGTGACAAAAATAGACCTATCCAAAAATTGGTTATCAGGTATTGTTCCTAGCACAATTGGAGGTCTGCAAGATTTGTCGACTCTATTATTAGCACATAACAGATTGCAGGGACCACTTCCTGAGTTACTTGGTAACTTGATAAGCTTGGAGTTTTTGGATTTATCTCATAACAATATCTCTGGAACTATTCCGAAGTCCTTAGAGGCGCTCTTTCATCTTAAATACCTCAATGTATCTTACAATAAATTAAGAGGAGAAATTCCAAATGGTGGAGCTTTCACAAACTTCACTTACCAGTCTTTTATGTCAAATGAAGATTTGGGTGGTGCTCCTCGGTGGCTAGTGCCTCTATCCGAGTCTAGTTCTCTTCAAAGATCATGGAAGAAAAGAGTGCTTCTAGTTGTGTATATCTCCCTGCCGATTGCGATAATGGTTCTTGCCTTGACCTTGATATTCATTTTGATTAGGCGACAAAGGAGAAGTACCATCCCAATTGAAAATGATTTGTTTCGTGCAACCACCCAAGAAAGAATTTCATATTATGAACTTCGACAAGCAACTCACAATTTCAATGAAAGCAACTTGCTTGGCATGGGTGGCTTTGGTTCGGTTTACAGAGGGATCCTTACATATGGGACGCATCTAGCCATAAAAGTATTCAATTTGCAACTAGAAGGTTCATTCAAGGGTTTTGATACTGAATGTGAAGTATTGCGCAATCTTCGCCACCGAAATCTTACCAAAGTCATTAGCAGTTGCTCTAATCTTGATTTCAAGGCACTAGTGTTCCAGTATATGCCCAAGGGAAGCCTTGAAAAGTGGTTGTATTCCCATAACCATTTCTTAGACATCTTGCAGAGATTAGATATAATGATAGATGTGGCCTATGCATTGGATTATCTCCACCATGGCTACTCCATACCCGTGGTTCATTGTGACTTGAAGCCTAGCAATGTTTTGCTAGATGAAAATATGGTTGCACATGTGAGTGATTTTGGCATTGCAAAATTATTGGGTGAGGAGAGTACTACATTAACCAAGAGTCTGGCTACATTGGGATACATTGCACCAGGTTTCACTTCTAGCCTTTTAATTTATACTCTTATTTTCATTTAGATTCTCTTTCCCACTTTGATATTCTTTTTGGGAATATAATCTCATACAAAGTATAACATTCCTTACGAGCATTATTGCTTTGCTAATGTGATGTTGTATGATGGTGTAGAGTATGGATTGGAAGGATTAATCTCCACAAGGTGTGATGTTTACAGTTATGGCATTATGTTGATGGAGATATTTACAAGAACAAAACCTTCTGATGAAAAGTTCACTGGAGATTTAACCCTAAAGAATTGGGTGAATGATGCACTACCAAATGCCATAATTCAAGTGATAGATGCCAACTTAATAAGGGCAGATGACGAACACTTGACTGTGAAAGTGGAATGTGTATTATCCATCATGGAGTTGGCTTTGAAATGCTCTACAGAATCACCTGTAGAGAGGATTAGCATGAGGGAGGTTGTCACTGCTCTCCAGAAAATCAAACTTCAGTTTCTTGTGAAGTGTGAAAAACATTGAAACATGGTAAGTGTTTTTCGACATTATCTTATGTAATTATCTTACGTAAAGTGATATAATTCCTCACTCAAGTATGAGTCTTGACTTGCAGTCAAATTTTTTTATGCTAACATCATGATGTTGTTGCCACAGGTTGCAAGGTTTGACGTGTGGAAGTAGCAGTGACACTTCGCTCCAAACTCACTACAAAAACATGCATTTTAAGATAGATAATTAAGGTTTATAGCTCGTCTATAGTGAAGGGTCATACAAATGTACTTTTGATATCGGAAACTATAGCATGATCTATTATCTCATTATTATTTTGGCTAGTTATGTTGTATTGTAATTGGTCTTAGCTGTTTGTTTTGTATGTTGCTGTCCCATGGGTCCCATCTCCATGCATTGTTATGTAGTATGAATTCCTTAGCTTTCTATTTAAATGTATCCTACTTTTTAGTTGTTGTCAATAATGACGAGGTACTTCTGAAATTGTCACATGTATGGTAACATTTTAGGCCGCCAAAAATTTCTCGCTTGTTTACTAAATTATGAGTCATGATTTGTTCACCCGAATATGGAGAATTGTACTTTACATTCTAAAAGATTTCAAGATTTTCACTTTGCACAATCAAAAATTAAGTTTTTCATATTATACTCTCAATGTATCAAAAATATTACAATGTGACACTTCTTGCTCAAACTTAGCTCAATAGAATTTTGTGCACATTTGAACCAAACTCGAGCTCAATTTTTTGTAACATTTTTATGAAAATTTAGCCTCATAACTTAGTAACCAACTCTAAAGTAATAAATATATATATATATATATATATATATATATATATATATATATATATATAGGACAAACCAAGATCCATAATACAAAAATCAAATTAGAATGAGGAAGAAGAAGGTGATCTAAGTCCATTATATATCGATAAGAATCTGATGATGCACAAAAATGGTTTTGCACACCACCTATCAAGTATAGGTAATAAATGCGGTGAAATCAATGAAAAAAAATTAAAGAAGACACGATTTATAGTAGTTCGGTCAATTCGACCTACGTCCACTCTTCAATGGCTTCAGTTGCCGGGTATTTTATTAATTCAGAGGTATGGAGAATAGAGATACAAGTTTTGAGAGAATGGAGAATCAAAGAAGGAGTGGTCTCCAGTCGTCGATCTGTCCTCTGTAAGTGTTGGTGGGGCGTGACCTTCATCTCTGGTCTCCTCACAGATTGAGGCTACTTTATCGCAGCTAAGAGATCATTCTGGTGGAGATCATGACTTATCCTCAAGGCTACTTTATCGCAGCTAAGATATCATTCTGGTGGAGATCATGACCTATTCTCAACGGAAGGAGGAGGTTGGGGAGCTTTTCATGAAACGTGGTCAAAGCTTGGACCGTTTCCTTCGGTGGTGCAGATAAGCTTCTCGTGCTCTCCTCTTAATGACGTGCTAAGCAAAAAGTCTAACCGGTCTTGGACTGTCTTGGGCTTGGTAGATTCAAAATGAGGTTGGGCTCCTCAACTGGAGTTGGACTTTAACACATAAATTGGACTATTTGGGCTTAACCCATCATTTGTCCCCCAATGCCCCATGTCCAATGAGATTTGGAGAATGAGACATTGACTATATTATTATTATTATTCTTTTTTTTTTTAACTTCAAGTCTTTCCCACTTTATTTTGAGGAGGGTCCATAATATTCTATTTGACCTTTTTATTTTGAAAAGGACTTATAACTTTCTATTTGACCACTTTATTTTGAAGAGGGCCCATAATTTTCTATTTGGGCTTTTTCCCTCTTTTTGAAAAACCCTAGACTATAAATATAGTCTTCTTCTTCATGTTACCCATTTCACTCATTTTTAAGGTTGAACACCCACCTCTTGAAAACCTTGAAAACTCAAGTCCTACCCATTTTGTTGAAGCCAAAGTGTGTTCTCCTTGAATCCTTTCAAGAGTGTGATTTCTTCCTTGCTAGTTGAGCTTCTTAAGTAAACAATGTCGATTGAAGAGGGAGTGGTGGAGGTTGAAGAAAGGGAGGAAGTAGGCACCATTTTGGAGAACTTGGAGGCTGGTTTTGAGCATTCGAATGCTGTTTTGGACAGCTTTGGGGCTGTAAATGAAGGGTTGGACAGCGAAGGGGAGATGGGCAGCGCGAGGAGTGGCTTGGGTAGCGAAGGAAAATGGCGGGGCGTGCGACTGGACAACCCAGGCGCGCGGCTGCGCAGCGCAGGCGCGTAGCTGGGCAGCTCGCGCACGCGCGGTGGGGGGCTGGGCGGCTGCCTTGGCTCTGCTCCTCCTGTCCTGGACAGCCCAGGCGCACTGGGCAGCTGCCTGTGCACTGGCCTTGCTGTCCTGGACAGCCCAGGTGCGCTAGGCAGCAGCTTGGCTGCTGCTTCTGCTGTCCCGGACAGCTCAGCTGCGCTGGACAGCTTTAGTTCTGCTACGCTGGGTGGCTTTGGAACGCTGGGCAGCAGTATTTTTTCATCAAGGGGCACTGAAAATCAGTCCAAGGTTCATCAGGGAGAGCTAGGCAGTGGCCTGGGAGCATGGGCTGATCCGATTCTCACTCGAGGCGCTGATTTGGGCCCCTTAGGTGCTAATTTTTGCGCCAAAAATTCTGCTTTGCCCAATTTTGAAGGGCCAGGCACCCTTCAAGCTACTGGGCATCCTTGTTTTGACGAGCAACAACAGTCAAGCACGCTTCCAGGTGTTGGGCTAGACATTGCAAATAGTAAGGAAGCTTTGGGTGCTGCTCTTGGTGATCAAGCCCCTATTGTAGCTCCCCCGATTCAAGTTCCTCAAGACTCTCCCAATGGTGATTTGGACTACTCCTTAAGGCCCCGGAATAAGAAACGCAAGAACAAAGTGAGACTTGATGATGACGGGTCTAAGGTGAGCACCCTTTCTAGTTTGTTCCGCTTAGATGAAGATATTTCAAGGCTTGTTTTTACTTATCGCATCCCTCAGACTTGATGATGCCGTCGGGCTGAGTTGGGCGAGCTTGCTTGCAACGACTCTTCCGGGGATATTGTTGTCTACGAGGAGATGCTTGAGGCTGGGTTAAGATTTCCCATGTCCTCCCCCATTTGTCGTGTTTTGCATTACTTTTCCTTGACTCCGAGGCGACTAGCACCCAACGGTTGGAGAGTCTTGATCGATTTTCTTGCATTATGGAGAAAGGTGCACCACAAGGATGCTTCCCCTATGGAGTTTCATGCAGCATATAATTTGAGCGAAATCCCTACACCAAATAGGGGATGGTACTATTTTACCGCACGGAGTGGTACAGTACTTACATGAACGCGCTCTAATTGCGGTGGCTGGAAATCTTGTTTCTTCTTTATTGGTGGAGAATGGGCTTCAGAAGCCGACAGAGCTTTGGTGCCAACACTTTGGGGTGCTGCTAAATAACCCGGTATGCTGCACACTTCTTCTTTTTCCTTTTTTTTTTTATATGTGTGTGCTCACTTTTTCCATGCAGATATACCAGTGCTTTCTCGGGACCAGGAGTGAAAATTGGAGACTGTCAAAGCTTGCCCTTGTAAAGATTTGGGAGTTCTCCTGCCCAAGTATACTAGAACTGTTGCTCCATCTCATAAATCTGGCGGCTCCTCTTCGAAGAAAAGGAGTGAGTTAGTTTCCTCTCCTTTTTTTTTTTTATATAACCCTTCTCTACTTTTGTAGCAAGTAAAAGGGTGGTGGTGTCCCACTTTTCTAGTAGGAGCCCTCCTTCTTCCAAAGTGGCAAGGAGGGATGATGCCCCCCATGTGACTCCCACGGTGGCTCCTTCTCAACTGGCAGCTTCTCCAGCTGCTACTCCAGAATCTTCTTTGCCAGGCACATATGTTCCACCTTTATCCTTTCCTCATGCTACCCCTCCTTTGTCTCCTCCTTGTTCATGAACTTCTACCCGAGTGCCGATTTGGGCTGGTCCTATGATGGGGAGACCGGCAGTTATCAGGGCAAGGCTTGACAGGTTTGTGTTTGGGCCAGAAGTTTCTGAGCTTAGCGCTTCGGGCACTGATAAAATCGTCAACACGTATTTGGAAGGTCTGGCTCAGGTAAGGGTCTGTTATTTCCTTTTCTCCAGTCGTTTCCTGTGTTTTGGACTTTTCTTAATCTCTTGTCTTTTTTTTTTAAGGTTTCGACTTCCTCCATCTGCTTGCTTTCGAGGGCCTATAATCAAGACAAACTGAAGCTGGATCTTAACCTTGTGCAGAGGGAGCTCGTTACCGCTCAGGAGAGGATTGTCGAGCTTGATTCTGAGCTTTTAGTGACCCGTGAGAGGGACGTGCTCCGGGAGGGTGAACTTGTGACAGCTCATGAAAAAGCTTCTAATTTTGAGTCCAAGCTTTTGGCGGCCCGCGAGAGGGACGCGTTCAGGGATGGTGAGCTTGCTACAGCCCATGAGAGGGCCATTAAGCTAGAGGCTGAGCTTTTGGCAGTCCGCGAGAGGAGCACGCTCAGGGAGGCTGAGCTTGTAGAGACCCATGGGAGGGCCATGCTTAGAGAGGCAACTGTTGCAGAGGCAAAGTTGACGGCTGCTAGGGAGAGAGTTTCCTGTGCTGAGGAAGACTTGGAGAATGGTCTTGCAGATGCTTTTATTGATGGTTTCAAGGATCTCCAAAGGAAGGTTTCTACTGCTTTCCCTAATATTGACTTCTCACCTTTCGTGCCCACTGACGACAGTGATGAGGGGGGGTCTGATGCTGTTGATGACAATAAGGAGAAGGTGAGGGACGACCATGAGAGCAGTTAGAGTGTTTAGGACTTTTGATTTTTATTTTTTTTTGAAAAGGTAGTATTTGGCCTTATTTTTGTACCGATACTCATTTGAAATGAAATACAGAAAATCTTTTTGCAGTAAATGGCATAGAAAATTTTATTAATTTATTGCTTATAAAAGGCGATATTGGGTAATAATTCCCAAAAAAAAAATATTGAAATCTTGGATAACACCCCTAAAAATCAAATCAAGTCCCAACTTCT